TTATAGAAAATTATTAGAATTGTAGGGATGACAATTTTTCCTATAAAACTAAGGCCCTACTTTGCCCCTCCCAAGTTTTCTCAAATCTTAAACGAGGACGGGGCAGAGACAAGGTGAGGGCAAGGAAAATATTTTTGCACCAAATTAGGGATGGGATTTGAATATAATTCCCCGAACCTGATGATAAATTAGTAAAATATCCATAGATTTAATATTTATTTTTAAAATATCTCTAAGTTTTCTTCATATTCTTATAATCCTAGGATCTCATAATTTCATATATAAAATACCACCAAATTGTCATAATCCAATTCCTAAAATACCCTTAAATTCCCATAATCCTATTTACAAAATATCCATAAATTAGACATTTTAGGTGGTTACCTCAGGATGGGAAAATTTGGGGATTCCCCATCCCCGATAGGGAATGGGTGCCTCGCCCCAAACCCGCCCTCCCATTGGGGTTAAGGTGGGGATGGAGTAGAGTGTCATGACTTATGGGAGTGAGGGACAAGGAAGGGTGCCCCATCTTGTGCATTGCACAGGTCCCCGCTAGTTAATCTATATGTTATACAATAGTTGTAAGTGCAAATTTTTTACAAAGCCTGTGCTTTAAGTTACCTATTTAATTAGGTAACTTATTTATGTGGTGAAGCAATCCTAACTAACTTAATTAGGTAGCGTAATTAATAAATGTTATTACTAATAAAACTATAAAAGCTATAATTTTAGTCCATTTAAGTCATATTTAAAAATTACAAAAATTGTAAAAATTAAATAAAATTGGTTAATAATAATAATAATTTATAGTAATTTTTATAAATTGAAAATTCAATTAAATTACTAATATTATATATAAATTAATTTATAATACAATTAGTTTTATAAATAAAATTAATAAAAATACTAACCTTATAACATTAATTTTGCTATGAGAAACTTATTAATTTTTAAACTATCTTTTATTAATTTAAATTTTGTTTAAAATAATTACCTTAACAAAAAATAAGTGTGGTAAATGATAATTTGTTTCTATTGATGTTGGATATAAAATATAAATTGTAAAACTGAAGAAAAAATGAAATTGTTTTCCGGATGGCGAGTCAATAGTTTAACTTTTAAGGTCATACGTATCAACCATTGATCTATGAACTCATAATTAAATAAAAATTAAAAAAAGATAAAAATATAAAACTATAAAAAATATAGAAAGTTTGTAGAAAACATTTGGGCACATCTCTAATATTTTATATTAATCATATTAAAAATTAAACACGATAAACAAAAATTGTTTTTCATGATGGAAATACAATACAAAATTTGAAACTAATCCATAAGTGAAATTGTTTTCCTATTTGGTTGTAAACCAACAATTCAATCTTTTAGATCAAATGTGTCAACCTGTAATGTCATTTTTAAATATATAATAAAAATTAAAATAAGATAAAAACAAAAATTTAATATAAATTATGTGGAAAACATTTGGGCATATCTAATACTTTATATTAATTAACCATATTAAAGAAAAATAAGTTTAACAAAGAATAATTGGTTTTATTGATGACGAAAATAAAATAAAAATTTTAAATCAACCCAAAAAGTGAGTTATTTTCCTGTTTGGTAGTGAATCAAGAATTTAACTTTTTAGGTCAAATGTGTCAACTCTTGATGTCATAATTAAATAATAAAAATTAAAAAAATATGAAAACACACAAAAGTATAGAAAATACAATAAAATTTGTAGAAAACATTTGGGCACATCTCTAATATCATATATCCGTGCATCATCTAAAACAAAAACAAGTGTAACAAAAAAGTAATTTTTATAGACATAGAAATATAACAAAAACATAAAAAAATTTAGAAACATATCATTTACTATCATCATTATAAAAAATTGTCACATGCAAAGCATGTACACACTTACTAGTAAAAATAAAGCATGGACAAAAGGGTAGATAAAATGTTAGGTTTTTTTTTTTTTGTTGTATTATAGGTGTATAAAGTAAGACTTTTAAATAAACTTATAATTAAAGAATGGATTAAAACGGTGCTGAATTTCATGATTGGTTTGAAAGACAAGGTTACCTTGGCCAGGTTCTCAGGCACAAGACAAACTTGTATGGATGCACACCCCTCATGGAAAATACACTTCTTTGGGAATGAAATGGTTGGGTCATATGTATGTCTCATCCTCAACAGTAGAAATAATCGCTTTGAATTGGTCATGGAAGCAATTCCCACTTGAGACATCCTCCACAATAAAGTAACTTAGATTGATCCGTCTTGTTGTCTATGCAAAAAGGAATTTAAATCATTAAATCATATAATGTTCTATTGTAAAGCTTACAGATAGGGTGTTAATAGTATTCGAAAATCTGATTTCGAATTCTAGATTTGGCATAATCGAATCGAATTTGGATAATTAGAATATCTAATTGTTTGAATTCGGATATTCTATTCATACTGAATAGCTAATTAGATTCGAATTTGAATATGATCTGATTCAATTCGATAAATATCCAAATTCGACCGATTATTTAATTCTTATATATAACATATAAAATTTTTAAATGCTTTATGTAATTTATATATATATATATAATAATTAATTTATATATTTATATACTTTATATAAATAAAATATTTATTAATTACCTAAAATAATTAATTAGTCGAATTCGAATCGAATCAAATATTTAATCGGATTCGAATTCGAATATTAATTTTCAATATCCGTCAAATATTGAATCAAATTCGAATACCAGATTTTTTAATTGAATTCGAATTCGAATATTGCTTGATCCAATTTGAATTCGATCTGTTTACACCCCTACTTCCAGAGCCATCTAGTTTGGCTCTTGGATGAACATATGTATGGAGGCATATAGTAATAGACATCTATCTGGTGGACTGGCTATATTCTTGGTGAATGATGTTGCTAGAAAACCATGGCATTCTCATGTATCCCTTCATGTATGGTACAGTCATGTGTGGAGTATATGGCGTGTTAGAAATGAACAGATTTTTAAACATGAACCGTTTCACCCAAGTAATATCTTTGGAGCGGCAATGCATACTATAGCTACCTCCAGAGCACCTTTGAGACATCTTTGGGAAATTCTATCACCCCGTCCATCATGGATCCAGTTCATCAATGGTTGAAGCCTCCCTATGGCTTAGTGAAGCTAAATTTTGACGGTGCAATGAGCAACACAAAAGTTGGTGCTGGTTTTTTCATCGGAGATCACGGTGGTTTTTTACTGTTTGTTCCATCGATTTCCCTTGGACTTGATGATAGCGTTGGAGTCGAACAAATTCTGTTTGAAAAGATTTCAAATTATTAGGGGGCGTTCTTTTTTTGGATTTTGAGAGGGGGGAAAATTGGTCAATGAGATTTTGATTTTGATTGACCAAGAAATTCATATTCTTTTTTTAGATTTATGTGGGAATCAGGAAAAATTCATTTTCTTGGGTATCACTTATGTGCATGGATAAATGTATTTACCTAGGTAAATATTTTCTGGGAACACTTGAGGTCAGTGCATTTACCCGGGTTTGAAAAACGAACGAGGCCTTAGTGGAAATGGGTTTTTCCTAGGGGTGATCATGGGCCTGACCAGGCTTTGCACTTATGATAAGGGCTATAGCTTAGGCCCAGGGTTCCAGGCCTGAAACATAAGCCCTAGCCCATGTCTATACGGGCTCGGACAGGGCCGGGCCTAATTCCGGGCCAATGTCACTCATATATAAAACATTACATATCTATATATTAAATGACATAACATGCGTATAAACTTATTTTATACATTATATAATATAAAATATTACATGTCATGTTATAATATTTATATATAAAATATATAATAAAATATAAAATAACATGTATACATTTATTTGCAGGCCTAATGTGGGCCCAGGCCGGGGCTAAACACAAAACCTAGGCCCAAGCCCAAAATTTCCGGGCCGAACTTGTGTAGGTCGGGCTGGGCGACGCTGAAATGATCACCCCTACTTTTTCCCCTTTAATCATTGAAGGTGACTCTCAAATTGTATGTTCGCTTCTGTTGGAGAGAAATTGTCTCTCCGTGGCGTATCCAAACACTTATTACTGTTGCAGGAGTCTTTTATCCAACCTTCCATCTCACACTATTACCCATGTGCAGAGAGGAGCAAATAACGTTGTTCATAACTTAGCAAAATTTGCATTATCCTGTAATCGAACTTTTACTTGGTCCTCTCCCTCATCTTTCATTTAATCAGTTGTGAGATGAATTCAGTTGTTTAGTGAATTTAGCCGTTAGGCTTTCAGAAAGAAAAAAGGTAGGGAATCTGGATCAGGTTTTCTTACCTTTCCTTGCCTCATTATCAAATTAAAAACCGTATTAGGGATGGCAATTTCTAGCCTACCAGTGTGTGTGTGTGGGGTGGGGGGCGGTTCCCTTAAAAATGAATCTTGGGGCAGGAAGGGGTTTTGTGATTTCACAATCGATATGGGTATGGGTGGGATATTGGTATTAGGCTAAATCCAACCCTCCCCAACCCGCATATTGATGGAAGGCATATGTACTTATATATAAGGTGTTGAATGTATTACTATTTTGAATTTTATGTAAAAGATAATTTATAATTTATGTGCTTTTTACATATTTAATCAAATAATTGGAAAATTTGGTGGCTCTTCATGCTATTTTAGTTATTATATGATAAGAAATAATAGAAAGTTAGATGTAGATTTTTAGACCCAGCCTACCAATCCAACCCACCTCACCTTCTAATGTGGGGAGGGTAGTGTCAAGGAGGGTTTTGCATTTCCAAGTATGGAAAGGGTTTGGGTTCTAAAAATCCAACCAACCATGGGTATTGGAGAGGGTGTGGGGTTGGGAGGTCTAGGGAGACAGGTAGAGTGTAGAATTTACAAAACCCTCCCTGACCCGCATTGTTACCATCCCTATGCGTTAGAGAGGTCTACATCTTAGTTTTAGCAATATGATTAAATCTAGCTCAACAAAACTCTGTTTCCAACCAATCAAGCAGAGTACGCTTATTTGGTAAGTGTATCATGAGAAAATCTATAAATGCAACTACATTTGTCGCTTTTCCTTTCTTTTTTTTTTTCAATACAAGTACATGAAAAAGAATGAAGAAGAGGAAATAAAAGGAAATCAATCGAAAAATTCCCAATTTGTTGTGGCTGGGGGGTCGAATGTCTCCCACTTGGTTGTGACAACTACAGGATTTACTCTGGCATTTTTTATCTTGAGCACATCCAAGGTTTCAACAAACTTTTGCACTCTCTTGCTCTGCATAATTTCATGAACCAATGAATTAGGGAGGGCTTCCATTGTAGCACTAGTGAAACCAGAGACCAAAAAAGACATTGACTATAAATCACTTAATTTAGTTTGCACTTGAGACACAAAATGAATGAATGAATGGAGGAGCATATTACCTGCAAATTCTTTTGGACAGAAACTTCACCATCTGTGGCAATGCTGTCAAGCTTGACTGCTTCTCTCATGAACATCTCAATCAAAGTTGTTATTTGAACTTCTGGCACCTGAGTCCCATTTTCTATAGACTTCTCAATAGAAGAAACCTGTTGAGAGAAGAGAAAAAAAAGAGACAAGAGATAATAAGAACTAAGAGGAAGAATGAAAGCCCCACCTTCTCAAATATAGAAGCAGTAATTCCATCATCACTAAATTATGGTGGCAATGATTCATTAATTTCATGGGACCATGTTGTCTTTATCAGATCCAACTACCATTATTTTTTTTTTTTGATGTATCCAACTACCATTATTAATGATCACAACTGCGACATGCCTGTACATTGGGTGGCATCCTGGACAACAATGTCGGTCAACTTAATATAAGGAAACCCCTCTCTCTCTCTCGTTCAACAACTTAGATTTCATGTTAAGTAGAAACTGTTCCACATGGCCCACAACCTTTTTTACCTCCAAAAAATACATAGATAATAAGTAAACAAAGTAACCCATTTTTCTCTATTTAGGATGTGTTTAGGTCCAGAGGGAATTTCATTTGGTGTAAATGCATGAGTACAAATAGATTGTATAAATTCTGATAACTTTCACTTTAAATTTGATAAAAAACAAAATAGTGTGTCTCACCTTATTTGTTTGAGAGTGAGGTATGAAGTAATGCAAGATGATGCGATTTCACTTTATATGAGAGAAAATTGAAATAACTTTTGCATTAGATCATAAGGCTCAGTTTGGAAAGAGTATAAATACAAATAGAGTGCAAACCTTGTATTTTGTATTATTTTGAATGTATTTGCACTCTATATATTTGTTCTTCTTCCAAACTAAGCCTGGCTCAATTTGGAAGGAGTACAAATACAAATATGTACAGTACAAATACATATAAAATAACATAAAATACAAGGTTTTGCACTCTACGTATTTGTATTTGTACCCTTTCCAAATGGAGCCTAAGATGCAAAATTTACACTACCAGTAAAATGCAAATGAAACAAAAGTATAAATTTTATGATGTAAGAGTGCAAATTGTAGTTACAATCAAATAGATGCAAAACTAAACTGGATGCTAAGTTTGTATCTGATTGAAATTTGCATCACCCCAAAAAATACTTTACTCTGTTGTAGAAGATTACAAATAGAAATATGTACAATGAAAATATAAGGTTCAAAAATATAGTATACAAGGTTTTATACTGTACATATTTATATTTATGTTAGTAATCTTTCCAAACAGAGCTTAAAAGTACTTTTTCTCTTTTTTCTATTTAATGTGGGAGTGAAGACTTTACTAGCGGCCACAAGTTGGTGGGATCAGAAGGACCGTGTTTTGCATCTTTGTGACAACTCATTTATGTTCCCTTTCTCCAAAGAAAATGAAAAAGAATCAACCACTACAGTTTCACATGGGAAAAGCCTCTCCTATTGATCAAAAAAATCAAACAAATCAATTAATTGATAGGGTCTGATGTGGGACCAGACCCATCAACGGCTTGGGTTCACCCAAATTACCCAACTTCACATAGATGCATGCGTGTGGAAGATAGAAGACTGGAAGTCTGGAACTCAAATAGGTTAAATGGGTTGCATACTTGCATTCCATTGTCAAAAAAAAATGCAATAAAAACGAAAAGCGAAACCCAAACAAACCCCTACGTTAACTCTTCTACATAGGCACTGAAAAGAAGCATTTGGGCTGTCGCCAGTCGAACAGAACGAATTTGTTGGAGATTAAAAAAAGAAAAAAAAAACTGGATTAATAGTGACTTCGACGTACCTGGTCTGCGAGCTTGTCGACTTCCAAGGAGACGTCGGAGATGGCTCGGTGGGCGCTCTGGATCTTCGCGTTCCTTCGCATCTCGATGTATCTCTTCTCCCTGCTCGACGGGTCCTCGATCAACACCACCTTCGATCTGTCCTTTACTCCGCACATGTCCAAGTAGTCGCTGTTCTCCCTCTCCTTGCCCCGGAATATCAGCCTCTGTTCTCCCGGTTGCAGCCCCGTCTCCGCCGCTAGCAGCTTCTTCAGTTCCCCTGCCATTAACAGAAAAACCATCTTGACATATTGCCCATCTCAGCAACCTTCTTGGTCGATGTCTTCGTGACAATCGATTTACCAGGAGGCATTATGGTCACAGAAGAAAGTATATTTGGTTGGTAATCGATACTTTTCCGAAACAAACAAAATTCCAATTTCTACCAAAACTTCCGAAAATGATCTTACTCCTAACCACTTTCACTTTTCAGATGCATATTCGTATTAAAATTTGGAAAACTTGGACGTTTTTTGCCACAAACTTGTAAAATTTGAGGAATAAGCAAAGGGACGCCAATCCTGAGAAACTCAGACCTAGGTAAGATGAGAGAGAGAGGGAGAGAGAGAGAGAGAGAGAGAGAGTCTTACCGAAGGTAGCTTGAGAATTGATGGAGATATCGTATCGGAAGGCGCCGTAAGCGATCCGAACCCGGAAGGTGGGAGCCGAAACTTCAGATTTCTCGCATCGCTTCTGCACCAGCATTCCACCCGGCCGCATCTCCCACTCTATTTCTTCCTCTTTGTACGTCGACGACGTCGTCGTCGTCGTCGTCGAGCTCTCTCTTAGTTTACCATTAAAGCTCTTCTTTTTCTTCATCATCTTTCTTATATTTCCGGTCTAAATTCCGCCGGAGAAACTCCCAAAATCTAGCTGCTTCCGGCTCCGGCGGTTTCTTCTCTACCTCCCTGCAAAAAGAATTTCTACGGCATTCGTTGCCGACACACACACTCTCTCTCCCCGCCTCCCTCGAGCCCTCACATGCACGCACCCTCTCCACTCTCCAGGTTGTTTATATAGTCGTGTGTCGCTGGATTCACATGACGGAAAATAATAGGAATTATTTTAAGCAATGATGTTTCTCCACGTGTCAATCGAGCAGCTGGTTCTCACTTACAGCGAAGCGTCGTTTGCCGACAGCTTACGAGAAGCATCCAGCAAAAGTCCGCTTCCCGCCAAATGACTATTTTAGATGTGGCATGAATTTTTTGGAGCATCATAACTGTAGGCCCGACTCCGTCAATCTCTTTCGTAGTAGGTTAATTACGTGGTAGTTTCCAATTCTACCCTTATATACATTATATAGCTTTTTTATGATTCTACTTCATTGTTGAAACGTTTTTCCCATTTCGTATCTTTTTCATATCACATAGTCGAACCCTTTTATTTTTATTAATTACAAAGAAGAAGTATTGACTGGATTTATTTACGGAAATCATTTACAATATAAATATCTGGGATCTTGACACGTTTTACACAAGGAGATCTGGGACCCACTTCACCACTTGATGAAATTCTCACTCCAGAGACTTGCGTTGTTAACCGTCCAAAAAGAATCGAAATTCATAGAGGGTTTAGATCATTCACGTCCCAATAATCTTGTGGGACGTGGGTCACCGGTGGGTTGCGTTGTTAACCCACAAGCCACAAGTCCACAATCACAATAGCAACAATAAAATGATAGTGTCACCGTGGGTCACCGGTGGCTTGACGTTGGCCACATTATGCAGACCGGTTCAGACGGTTAAACCAATATAATTGGRAAATAAGCAGCTAAAATGGATTTGAAGGCTGAAGCTGCTTGGCTCTTGAAAACATTGACTCATTTATTATTTAATAAATAATATGGAATTATTTGTCATTTTTTTCTTTTTTTTACAAATTTTGACCGAGTTAACCAAACGATCGGACCGGATGATCTCAAAATGTTCAACTGGTGACTCAGGACATGCTTGTTTGTAGTATAAATCTGAACTGGATGCAAACTTTATATTCATAGTGCAGTTTTGCACCTATTTGTTTGTAATTATGATTTGCACTATTACATATATTAAATATATACTTTTTGTCCCACTTCAATATCAGTGCAAATTTTACATCTCAAAAAAGGGATACAAAATTTGCAAAACTTTCTTCCTACATAAGTTTTCTTTGATATCATGTTTCTTGCCTCATTTTCAACCAAATAACCTTTCTCTTACCTCCTTTTTTTAGTTTGGAAAAAGTGCAAATACAAGTATGACAGAGCAAAACCTTATATTCACTATTGTCTAAATCTTATATTTGTATTTATATTATATATTTGGTATTTGTTTTTAAGTAAAACCTGAAGTGAACGTATACACAGTCTATTTGCACCATCATGCATTTACACCAATGCAAATAATTTCTCACTACAAACCAACTAAGCCTCAGTGACAAAAACAGTTAATTTTATATTCAGTTCAAGGTTCAAAATATTGATATATCTGATATGCCGGCCGATAGAGGCAAATCGGGMAATATTGATAGTTTTTTTTTCAAATCTAATTCAGAGAGGCCAGTTTAAAGTCGATCAACCCCCTAAACTGGTCAAAACCTCAAAACACCCCCTATAAGATTGTATCGAAAAACCCCCGATACATATCAAAATTTTGAACCTTGATCCGGTCCAAATTTGACAGCAGTATTTCATTGGGCCCAAATATTACAAATTGCCTACTCAAAGAGCCTCCTTCCATTCCAACGGCTCTCATTTGCCACAAGCGATGCATTTGGTAACGTCACATTGTGAGTGACCCCACCCACCCACTGGTGAGTGGTGACCCTGTCATTGTTCTAATAAGTTATTGAAGTGTTAGGCTGTTGCTTAGGTTAGACACATGAGATATCTGGGTGGAGTCCACTGAGCTAATTGCTAGGTGTGGGTGATGAATCTCATTGTCTTAATATTAATGGAGGGCCATCAAGGTTATAAAATACTGGGGTTCCAGATCATCAGTTTGGAGAAGATGCAAACAAAAAGATTAATATAATAAAATTAATTCTTTAATTTAATATCTATATATAATTAAGTATTATGTTATGACACGTGGCATATATGAATTTTCTCATATATATAGTTAATTTCTTATGGGGCAAATTTCTTAGATCAGAAGTCAACCTGATTGGATAATCACAAATTGTATGTTCTATGATTTCTTTGTTTAAGGGAAATGATGGCAGGGTCAAAGAAGGGCCCACACCTCTTGGGCCAGCCCCACTGAATCTTTGATGCTTGTCTTATATATGGGATGGGACGAATGTGTAAACGGGCCTCACCTAAGATCTCAATTGCCCTTAGAATCAAATAAATAAATAATTTTAGAGAGAAAAGCTTGTGAAGAGATAGAAGCTAATAAAGTAGTTAATACTAAGATAGTTAAATCAGATTATATACTTATTTTTCATACAAGCGATTTATTACACATGAATAGTTTAGTGGTTGGTCACAATCTTCAGCTAATTTGGGATTTGAAGAAAGGGAGTGATTCACAAATCTTACCAATACAATAATAGGTGATAGATTCATCTTGGATGAAATTATGGGGAAAACCAAATGGAATAATTTCATTGGGTCACACTTGATGTGTTGGAAGCTAGCATTGGTCCAAAAACCTTGTTTGGACGTTTGGGGACTCTAATGAATTGGAGGGGTAGGGAATTCAAAAGCAACATCGAAAGGGTTAATCCAATGAGATGTCACTCTCACAAGAACCAGAGCATAGTTTTGGGTACATTGTGGTTTCAGATGGGATTCATGCTAGCATGAGATGGAAGATTCATGTCAAATCATTCAGAGTTGGAGATGAAAGGAGCATATGGATTGCAATTTGGTGTCCACAATCAAACTCCTTCCAATGTGATGCAACTCTGACAAATGAAAGAGTTGAGAAGAGAAAGTTAAAGCATTTGAGAGGTTGTATAACCATAATTGAGATATGAAATCATCCATGAATTAGGGATTTTCATGGCATTTTCATTGTGAGAATTCATGATCAAAATCACTTTAGATAGCCTTTATTTTGAGGTAAAAGTGGAGTGCAGCTGAAGAGGTGCACTGATTATACAAGTAAGAAAAAATGATTTGTCAAAAATTGAAGGGTCCATTGGAGATGGTGGCAGACAAAAAGAAAGGACAATGGTTGAAATAACAAGAAATGATTTGAGGAGACATGATTTAACAATAGTTGTGATAGTGATACTAAAAAGGGTGGAATGGTGGAATAGGATTCAGGCAGCTGCCCCATTTAATTGGAACATGGCTTTTTTGAGTTGAGTTGAATTTGAAGGATGATTTTGTTGTCAGCATAAAAGAGGTGAAATGTGGTGGAAATGTCTCAGAAAGAAATTAAGACTTCTTTATCCTTTTATCTTAGACACTGAATTAATCTTTTTGGGTAGTGCCTTAGGCCCAATTACCTTTTTTTATTTTTCTTTTCATTTTTTGGGGTTTTCTGAGCTCAAGATCTGAACAACAACAACAACAAGATGTATACATGTACGTACAATTGTATAGAATTTATAATTCATGAATTTAGTCTTTTATGTAAACTAATTCCAAGTGTATAAATTTATGTATATATTTTTATAGAAACATTTGTTTTCACCTTTAAAAAGTTAGAGTAATTGGCCTAGGTTAAACTTCACTTGATAGCTCTAGATATCAAGTTTAAAATTTGATCTGATAGATGATTTGTACTAATTGATAGAATTTTAATTTGGAAGTAGATATGGTTCCTGTCCAAATTCAACCCAATAACCCTAGAGATACTCCTGCGTACATTATGCATAGAGGACTGGGAGACTAGGACCCCTTTCTAAATGGGTCTAACCTAAGATCTTAATTGCCCATAGGTGCTTCTCCTCWGCTCTTTGACCTTGAATAAATCTTTTTTTTTTCAACAAAAAATGCTCATATAAGAATCATTGTATGAAAAAAAAATAAAAGAATAATTAATTTTAGAGAAAAAAGTTTCCAAAGAAATAGAAGCTAATAATTAATTTTTAAAACTAATTCAGACAACGAACCGGTCAGGGGTCTGGTTCCTGGGTCGAATGGTCTGACCATTCGAACCGAACGGATGGCCCGTTCTGACAAAAAAATTAAAAAGTTAAAAAAATAAAAATCAGCCAAACCATTGAACGATTCAACCGCTCGGATCAGCGGTTTTCTAACCAAATCAATGGTTTTGGGGGAAATAATGATTCTGGGGTAAAACGGAACCGATCACCTGACCAGTTCCTGGTTTTTCTGGGCCAACTGTCTAATTCGGTCCAATTTTCAAAACCATATTGAAAAGTTTTCCTGTGCGGACGGAAAATTGGTCTTTTCTGTTTGGTAAAAGACTCGAAAAGATTTAAATGAAAATTCTAGGTCTTTTCCACATGATAAATAGCCTTCAAAAGATGTTTTTGAAAGCCTGGTAGACCAAGCAACTTCTGAAATGATTTTAATTTTAAAGAAAATACCCAAAAAGTGCAATACATCTTTTGGTCATTAAAGCTGTTTGAAGATGTTCCTAAAAAAGACTTATCAAATGAGACCTTATATTATATACTTATTTTTGGTAGAAACAATTTATCAGATAAATAATTTAGCGGTTGGTCTAAAACTTCAGTTAATTTAGGATTTCAAGAAAGGGAGTGATTTTCAAATATAACCAGGGTGATAAATTAAACAATGGAATAATTTCATTGGATGCCCACTTGGTGTGACACCTCTTCTAGCCTTCAAGTTGGAAGCAAGCATTGGATCAAAAACCTAGTTTAGACGTTTTAGGCTCAGTTTGGAAAGAGTACTATAAATACAAATATATACAGTATAAATACATACAAAATAATAAAATATACAACTTTTATACTCTTTCCAGGCTGAGCTTTAGGGACTGTAATGAATTGAAGGGATGGGGAATTGAAAAGTAATGTTATAAGGGTCACAATTCAATGAGATGTCATCATACTCACAAGAATGAGAGA